AGTCGCCTCCAAGAGGCCTCCCGAGAGGGCCCCAAGAGGCAACATTCACTGGTGTCCCATATGTTGTTTCAGGCGTTTAGTGTTCTCGCCTTTGAGTTTCCCGAAGCTTCATCACAACCCTAGAGACCCCCAAGATCGCCCCAAAACCGCCCGGGAGACTTCAAAAAAGGCCCCGAGAACGCCCATGGAAACTGGCGGACGGCCCTGGAGAGGCCCAGACGGGGAACCCGAACGGACATTTCGAGCCCTCGGCTTCGAGAATCCGCCAAGCTGACGACGACTCTGTCCCGAAACCCACGCACGATGGCGGCACGGGCATAAGGTTAGGTCGGGCCTGTCCCCCTACAGGGGGATTTTCGACGAAAAATGAGAAATACCCCCAAGATGCCCCAAAATGATCAACAAATATTCAAAAAATAGTCCCCAGACTATGTTTGGATTATTTTTTGATCATCTTTGCGTTATTCCCCACATCCAAAGTGGGGTTCTTGTTTTCTCTGGACACCCCGCGCAGGAACCTCCTCACCTCACCCCCTCTCCTCTTCTGTCTTCGTGCGCTCACTCACTCACTCACTAGCTCACTCACTCACTCACTCACTCATTCACTCAGTCACTGACTCATCAGCACTCACTCACTCACACGCTCATGAACTCACATATGATGATGATGATGAGTGTGCGCGTGAGAGAGTATGATCATCATCATCACCAGTCAGTCAGTCAGTCAGTCAGTCACTCACTCACTCGCCTTGGGCCTCGTCTGTGAGTGAATTGCGAAGAAATCTCAAGCGGGAGCCCCCTCCCTACGGGGCCCGCGGATCATGTTACTGATCCGAACGGGTTATCCAATTCCTGTAACTGTCGCCACTTTTGGGCTCTCGCGCTGCCAGAACGCCACTCCCAGGCCACATTTGTGAGCGAATTGCGAGGAAGTCTCAAGCGGGAGCTCCCTATGGGGCCCGCGGATCATGTTACTAATCCGAGCGGGTCATCACATTCCTATAAACTATCGCCACTTTTGGGCTCTCGCGCTGCCAGAACGCCATTCCCAGGCCACATTTGTGAGTGAATTGCGAAGAAATCTCAAGCGGGAACCCGCTCCCTATGGGGCCCGCGGATCATGTTACTAATCCGAGCGGGTCATCCAATTCCTATAACTGTCGCCACTTTTGGGCTCTCGCGCTGCCAGAACACCACTCCCAGGCCACATTTTGAACTAGAACCACGCGCGCGCGCTTCGCGCGCGCTTAGGTTCTGTCGAGTCACAGACCCAGGAATCGTTGCGAGAAGAAATTGGTGACGCGAAGCGTCTTGGGGGCGTCCTTGGACGTCTGGGGTCTCCTGGGGCCTCTTGAGGGGCCTCCTGGGGGCCTCCTGGCGGCCTCTTGGGGCGGAAGGCTCGAGCTTGCGGTTCGTGGTCCCCCTCTGGGCCCCCTCTTGGGCCCGTCTTGGGGCCCTCTTGGGCCATCTTGGGCGCCTCTTGGGCCGTCTTGGGGCCCTCTTGGGCTGTCCTGGGGCCCTCTGGGAAGCTTCTTGGGCCGTCTTGGGGCGGTCTTGGGCGCCTCTTGGGCCGTCCTGTAACGTCGGAAAGCCCAAAAGACAACTTTGTTGAAAATGTACGTTTTACGAAGGGAATGGGCAAATTTTTGCGTCTAGGGGCCCTCTTGGGACGCATGTTGGAGGCTTCTTGGGGCCTCTTGGGGGCGTCCTTGGACGTCTGGGGTCTCCTGGGGCCTCTTGAGGGGCCTCCTGGGGGCCTCCTGGCGGCCTCTTGGGGCGGAAGGCTCGAGCTTGCGGTTCGTGGTCCCCCTCTGGGCCCCCTCTTGGGCCCGTCTTGGGGCCCTCTTGGGCCATCTTGGGCGCCTCTTGGGCCGTCTTGGGGCCCTCTTGGGCTGTCCTGGGGCCCTCTTGGAAGCTTCTTGGGCCGTCTTGGGGCGGTCTTGGGCGCCTCTTGGGCCGTCCTGTAACGTCGGAAAGCCCAAAAGGCGACTTTGTTAAAAATGTACGTTTTACGAAGGGAATGGGCCAATTCTTGCGTCTAGGGGCCCTCTTGGGACGCATGTTGGAGGCTTCTTGGAGCCTCTTGGGGGCGTCCTTGGACGTCTGGGGTCTCCCGGGGCCTCTTGAGGGGCCTCCTGGGGGCCTCCTGGCGGCCTCTTGGGGCGGAAGGCTCGAGCTTGCGGTTCGTGGTCCCCCTCTGGGCCCCCTCTTGGGCCCGTCTTGGGGCCCTCTTGGGCCATCTTGGGCGCCTCTTGGGCCGTCTTGGGGCCCTCTTGGGCTGTCCTGGGGCCCTCTGGGGAAGCTTCTTGGGCCGTCTTGGGGCGGTCTTGGGCGCCTCTTGGGCCGTCCTGTAACGTCGGAAAGCCCAAAAGACAACTTTGTTGAAAATGTACGTTTTACGAAGGGAATGGGCCAATTTTTGCGTCTAGGGGCCCTCTTGGGACGCATGTTGGAGGCTTCTTGGGGCCTCTTGGGGGCGTCCTTGGACGTCTGGAGGCCATCTTCAGTATCTCGGAGCCCTCTTGGAGGCCTCTTGGAAGTTTCTTGGGCCGTCTTGGGCGCTTCTTGGGCCGTCTTGTCTGACTGGGGAGGCCTCCGGCAAGCCCCGACGAGCCTCCGGGCCCCCCGGGGTGCACATTTGTGGTCGAGGTCCCGGCCCCGGGCCCCCGGACCCGGTGCGCCGATATATGTATATGCCCGGAGCCAACTGTAGGCCACTTCGTGATCTTCGTGTTCCCAAAACACCACTCCCGGGCCACATTTTGAATGCTTGTAGGCCACTTCGTGTTCTTCGTGTTCCCAGAACACCACACCCGGGCCACTTTCTGAATGTCCGGAGCCAAAACACGAGGGCGAGGTCGGGGGCAACGTAGGGAGCGGGGGGAGGGCCCGCGCCAGGGCGAGAAGAAATATGCGCAGAAGAGACAGCCAGGACGCCTCACCAACCACGAGGACGACGGTGAGGGCTTTTTCCAGATTCGCTCAAAGGATTCTCATGCGGGGTCCTTCCGTCGGAGTAATTCCCCACATCCAAAGTGGGGTTCTTGTTTTCTCTGGACACCCCGCGCAGGAACCTCCTCACCTCACCCCCTCTCCTCTTCTGTCTTCGTGCGATCACTCACTCACTCACTAGCTCACTCACTCAGTCACTGACTCATCAGCACTCACTCACTCACACGCTCATGAACTCACATATGATGATGATGAATGTGCGCGTGAGAGAGTGTGATGGTCATCATCATCACCAGTCAGTCAGTCAGTCAGTCACTCACTCACTCGCCTTGGGCCTCGTCTGTGAATGCATTGCGAAGAAATCTCAAGCGGGAGCCCCCTCCCTATGGGGCCCGCGGATCATGTTACTAATCCGAGCGGGTTATCAAATTTCTTAACAGTCGCCACTTTTGGGCTCTCACACTGCCAGAACGCCACTCCCAAACCACATTTGTGAGTGAATTGCGAAGAAATCTCAAGCGGGACCCCCCTCCCTATGGGGCCCGCGGATCATGTTATTAATCCGAGCGGGTCATCACATTCCTATAACTATCGCCACTTTTGGGCTCTCGCGCTGCCAGAACGCCATTCCCAGGCCACATTTGTGAGTGAATTGCGAAGAAGTCTTAAGCGGGAGCCCCATCCCTATGGGGCCCGCGGATCATGTTATTAATCCGAGCGGGTCATCCAATCCTGATAACTGTCGCCACTTTTGGGCTCTCGCGCTGCCAGAACGCCACTCCCAGGCGACATTTTGAATGCCCGGAGCCAACTGTAGGCCACTTCGTGATCTTCGTATTCCCAGAACACCATTCCCGGGCCACATTTTGAATGCCCGGAGCCAACTGTAGGCCACTTCGTGTTCTTCGCGTTCCCAAAACACGACTCCCGGGCCACTTTCTGAATGTCCGGAGCCAATACAAGAGGGCGAGGTCGGGGGCAACGTAGGGAGCGGCGGGAGGGCCCGCGCCAGGGCGAGAAGAAATATACGCAGAAGAGACAGCCAGGACGCCTCACCAACCACGAGGACGACGGTGAGGGCTTTTTCCAGATTCGCCCAGAGGATTCTCATGCGGGGTCCTTTCGTCGGAGTAATTTTATTTGTCGTCGAAAATCCCCCTGTAGGGGGACAGGCCCGACTTAAGAATAGGGCCTTTTCGATATGAGGCCCCCGATAACATCAAGCGGTCGGCGGATGTGGCGTAAGCCTTTAGAATCCACGTCCGGAGCTGACGTGTTGCCGGAGGCAGGTCCGCGGAAGCTATAATGCAACGTATCCAATGTATCCAATGATTGCATAATTGCTACGTGTTGTATTGTTTTACATCATTATGTACCCCCCCTAACCCCCCCCAAGGGCCACGCCACTTCCGCCGACCCAAAATGGCCCCTCCCCTCCTGTGCCTAAAAACCTACCAAAACCTATAGAAAATCAATGAGCTGGGTCTGTTGGCCCTCTTGGGGGCCCAACAGGGCCTCAAGACGGCTCGAGATGGCCCCAAGACGGCCCAAGGCGGCCCCAAGACGACTCAAGATGGCCCCAAGAGGGCCTACAAAGACCCCAAGACGCCCCAAGAGGGCCCCCAGCGGACCCCCAAGAGCACGTCCAGTAGCCAAAAACTATTGATTTTCCCATGGTTGTTTGAAGATTTCAGCGTTCCCGCCGATTTCGACTCTCAGAGGTCCAGGACTACCGAAACAGCCTCCGAAGTGGCCCCCAGACGGCCCAAGAAGCCCTCAAGAGGGCCCCAAAACGGCCCAGGAGGGCCCCCAAACAGCCCAAAGAGGCCACCGAGATGCCCCACGAGGCCCCCAAGACGGCCCAAGAGTACCCCAAGACAGTCTCCGAAGAGACCAGGCAGTGCAAGAGCGCCCCCAAGACGCCCACACGGGGCTCCAAGAGATCCCCAAGAGGCCTCCCAGAGGCCCCCAAGAGGCATCCAAGACGCCCCCGCGAGGACCCAAGAGGCCCCAAAGAGGCCTCTAAGGGGCCCCCAACAAGTTCCCAGAGGCCCGACAACGACTGGACTGTAAGTGCTCTGGACGTGCACCCCGCGAAGCGAGAGGAATCGCACGCAATGTAGCAGGTACCAGGTGACAGCAACACACCTCGAAGTCAAGGGAAGCGTGCTACCACACCTGAATCTACCAGGGAACCCGCCTGCTCTAAAAGAGATAGATGCTTGATGCACTCTTTCGGAGGAATGGTCACGGCCCAATGGTCGTCTTCCCCCAGCAAGCCACCGACTTCATAATTGGCATTGCCAATGCTCCTGGCAAAGACATTGAGGTAATCGAGGCCCTGCCGAGTGCGACCGTTTACCACCTTCAAATCGACCTTGCCGAACCGTGTCCACGCCATACTGTTATGTTTGTTATCCGACTTCGCGGCAAACTCAAGCTTGTCGCTTTGGTTTGTCCAAGTGCCATATATTCCCACTGTCCGGAAATATAAATCTGAGCACGCGTCACCCATGCGCCTGGCGTCGGCCTCCACGCGTAGTAATGTCTCCTTCGGACCACCCCATCGCGGTATCTGCAAAAGCACGTGTACGCCCGTGCGGTAGATGTCAAAATGCTCACCGTACATGTTGGTGAGGTGGGGGTCTCCCACGCCAGAGACCCCTTGCGCTCCTGGTCTCGGTAATGGTGTTTGTGTCGTCGAGGGTGTCGCCGAGGGTGTCAATAAGGTTGTCGTTGCTGCCGTCGTCCAGGGTGTCAACGAGGCCGTCGATGCTGGTGTCGTCGAGGGTGCCGGCGGGGTCGTCGATGCTGGTGTCGTCGACGTTGTCAGTGACGTTGTCGGCGAGGGTGTCGGCGAGGATGTCGGCAAGGTGGTCGATGCTGGTGTCGTCGAGGTTGTCAATGATGTTGTCGGCGAGGGTGTCGGCGAGGATGTTCGCGAGGTCGTCGATGCTGGTGCCGTCGAGATTGTCAATGAAGTTGTCGGCGAGGATGTCGGCGAGGGTGTCGGCGAGGTTGTCGATACTAGCGTCGTCGAGGGAATGAACGGCGTTGTCGATGCTGGCGTCGTCGAGGGTGCCGGCGAGGTCGTCGATGCTGGTGTCGTTGAGGTTGTCAGTGACGTTGTCGGCGAGGGTGTCGGCGAGGTGGTCGATGCTGGCGTCGTCGAGGGTGTCGACGAGGTTGTCGATGCTGGTGTCGTCGCGGGTGTCGACGAGGGTGTTAGCGAAGTTGCCGGTGCTGGCATCGCCGAGGGTGCCAGCGAGGTCGTCGATGCTGGTGTCGTCGATGTTGTCAGTGACGTTGTCGGCGAGGGTGTCGGCGAGGGTGTCGGCGAGGTGGTCGATGCTGGTGTCGAGGGTGTCGACGAGGTTGTCGAGGCTGGTGTCGTCGAGGGTGTCGCCGAGGGTGTCAGCGAAGTTGTCGGTGCTGGTGCCGCCGAGGGTGTAAACGAGGTTGTCGATGCTGGCGTCGTCGAGGGTGCCGGCGAGGTCGTCGATGCTGGTGTCGTCGACGTTGTCAGTGACGTTGTCGGCGAGGGTGTCGGAGAGGGTGTCGCTGAGGTGATCGATGCTGGTGTCGTCGAGGGTGTCGACGAGGTTGTCGATGCTGGTGTCGTCGAGGGTGTCGCCGAGGGTGTCAGCGAAGTTGTCGGTGCTGGTGTCGCCGAGGGTGTCAACGAGGTTGTCGATGCTGGCGTCGTCGAGGGTGCCAGCGAGGTCGTCGATGCTGGTGTCGTCGAGGGTGTCGGCGAGGTTGTCAGTGATGGTGCCGGCGAGGGTGTCAACGAGGTTGTCGGTGCTGGTGTCGTCGAGGGTGTCGCCGAGGGTGTCAGCGAAGTTGTCGGTGCTGGTGTCGCCGAGGGTGTCAACGAGGTTGTCGGTGCTGGTGTCGCCGAGGGTGTTAACGAGGTTGTCGATGCTGGCGTCGTCCAGGGTGTCAACGAGGTCGTCGATGCTGGTGTCGGCGAGGCTGCCGGCGAGGGTGCCAGCGGGGGTGCCTCAGCCACCAAGTTGACACTTGCAGGACTCTGGGGAATCTCTGTGACCCAACCAGTCCGGCTTGTGGCCGTCAGGAGATCCCATCTCTGTGAAGCAGTCATGGACCCAGCCGATGGGTACGCCTCGTACATAATGGCCGCGAGTCCGGAGACATGTGAACAGGCCATGGAGGTACCCGAGCTAGTGCCCAGCGAGGTGTCGCTGAGGTGGGACGTCGAGAGGATGCTTGAGCCCGGGGCCCAGACGTCGACGCAGCTGCCGTAGTTGCTGAAGGGAGACTTGGCCGGTGACGATCCCGCAGACCCGCCGTAAGAGGCCACCGTGATGGCTGATGGGATCCAAGCAGGATTGTACATAGTCGCATGCGTCGTCATTCTGGTTCCCTGCAGCCACCACCACGGTGACGCCATCTTCGACCAGCGCGTCGATCCGCAGGCCCTCCCCCGTAGGGTCTTCAGGTTCTGAGCAGGCATCGATGCTTCGTAAATTACACTGGGTCTGCGCTCCTAGGGCCACCTTCCAGGGCCACGATCCCTCGTAAAGTACACGGGACACAGGCTGCGAGGGCCGCGACAAGTAGCACCAGAGGCCACGATTCCTTGCCAACTGCGAAGGGTGCGCACTCCCAGGGCCACAATCGGCAGGTTGCCAGCGGCAATGGCCGAAGGACTTCGAATCGAATCCTGCTCCGCTACGCTATTGCCAGCACCCCCAAGACTCATGCTAACCACCGCTGGCCTGGCACCAGACGACTTCACCCACTGCTGGGCCATAATGGACCACTGGACGTAACCGTACCCTTGGTTATCGAGAACCTTCGTTGCCCAGATGGTCGCGCCATCCGCAACGCCATATGTCGAGGCCCCCACCGTACCCGCGACATGGGTGCCGTGCCCATGGCCGTCAGCAGCGCACGTTGTGCTACTTGGCTCGCACACTGTGAGAGTTCCCGTGGTGGCCACGTCCACTCCAGCGAAGGCCCGGCCGCCGAACGAGGCGTGGGTTATCCGAATGCCAGTGTCCAGCACGTACACGTTGACCCCAACGCCCCGTCCCCGGCCCACGTCAGCCTTGATGGACTGGATGCCCCATGGGTATGTCAGCCGCTCCAGTGGACTGTCGTCTACATAGATGGGCTCAATGTGCATGGTCTCATACACATCCTCTTCGGCAAACTTCACAAGAATGGGGTACTTCTCCAGGAACGCCTTCAGTTCACTGAGTGTCAAACGTACCACCACAAATGGCAACTCGCCCAACTCTGGGTTGCTCATCTGGCAATTTTCGACTTCGTGGCAAAGAAACTGCAAATCTTTACCGTAGCATTGTTCACCAGCTCGAGAATCCACGGCCGGTGCGTCTCGACCGCGTGGGGGTAGATAGGCACTGACGACTGTGTGGGTGTGCTTTTCCGCTGCGCGGTCGGGTCACCATCGACCGTGCGGAGGTAGATGGGCACGTCAGCATGCGTGACGAATTCCCTCCTCGACTTCACCCTCGGATTTGACGGAGTGCCCTTCCACATCTGCATGAACTCAAGGTCGCCTGAATGGGCCAGGCCAGACGCGCTGCGGACCCCAACAAGGGTGGCGATCAACAGAAAATGTGCCATCTGCCTCACGAATTTATGCACGGAGCGGTGGTACTATTGCGCGAAGTGCGAAGGCGCGTGCAAGAATACTCGAGCCAACCTGGCAGCCGATCCTCAGACCTTGCTCATGTCCACGCGGAATGACCCCCGCACCCTGGACCCCAGGACACACAAATGAATCCACACAAACAGAAAGATTCCCCATCTCTTCCCACATTTTCGGGGTTTCTGTCTCCCCCCCCACTTCCCACATTTCCCCATATTTTCTGGGGAATCGACGATGAATGGTGTCTGTGTGTTTGTTTCCCTCCTGAAATGACCCCCGCACCCCGGTCATCGTCGGCGCGCCCGGCCGGTCTGCTGTCTGGACCACGAGGCCGCCAGTTCTCCCTGTGCGTCTGCCCTCCACCGGCCAGGACTCCCGTCGGGTGGCCCAGCGCTGCATCTGCGTCCGATGTCTATCGCGTAAATGGGAAGTTTTTAACACATAGGATGTTTAAACCACATAGGGGTGTAATACGTGATTACTGTATGAACAAATGGATGCATGAACTATCGTTGCCTTTGATACTAGATCCCTGCATGTTTAACGCATGATCCGCACGCGGAGCATGTTGAAAAACGGCACTGTCATGCGGGATGACGATTAATACAACAAATGGGAGAGAACGATTAAAAAATAGTTCAATGCTATTTCTGCAAAAAATTCTGACTGGAGGAGAACGATTTTTTTATTTTTTTCTAAAAAAAAACATAGTTGTCCAGCCCGCGGCCGGTTTTTTCTAAAAGTCATCCCGGGCGCCGCTGCGTGAACACGATCCCCGGTCATTTATTAATCGTCATCCTCCATTACAGAAGGCAGGGGGGCATCAAAGAAGGCAAGGCTTCTCGTAGAAGGGCTCGGAATCTCCCAAGCAGCCTGCGCAAAAGCCTCCAGGCTCCTCACGGGAGGCCGCCTCCCTCGCGCCCGGCCCCCTTGTGCGCGCCGCCCATCTCTTCCGAGGAGGAGGAGGAGGAGGAGGAGGAGGAGGAGGAGGAGGAGGAGGAGGGAGGAGGGAGGGAGGGAGGAGGAGGAGGAGGAGGAGGAGGAGGAGAGGAGGAGGAGGAGGAGGAGAGGAGGAGGAGGAGGAGGGAGGAGGAGGAGGGAGGAGGATGAGAGAGGAGGAAGGAGGAGGAGGAGGAGGAGGAGGAGGAGGAGGAGGAGGAGGAGGAGGAGGAGGAGGAGGAGGAGGAGGAGGAGGAGGAGGAGGAGGAGGAGGAGGAGGAGGAGGAGGGGAGGGTGGAGGAGGAGGGGGAGGGAGGAGGAGAGGGAGACCTCGCTGTTGGACGGTCCCAGGCCCGGCGGGGGCCTCCAGAAGCCGCGGGCAGCGAGCAGCCTCCGCGTGCTTGCGGGGGGTCCCGCTCGCCAGCCGGGCAGTGGGTGCCTCCCTGCTGGGGGACACCAGCTGCACGCCTATGCCGATCCTGGCTGGGCCCGAGCTGGGCCCGGGATCGGTGTGCATGCCCTTGTATAAGGAACGAGGCCCCGTTTTTCCAGAAGTTCAACTGAGATTTCCGATCGAAAACCTAAGGAAAACCTGAGGCAAGCTGCGAAACACTTAAGGAACACCGAGCCCCTCCCCAACGAAAAGGGTTCCTTATTCAGGGCCCCGACTGTATCGGCGGTGAGCGAGGGGGGGAGTGAGAAGGAGAAGGCCTTCTCAGAAGGTTCGGAAGTCCCCAGGCCTTCTCAAGAGTGGTCCGAGCTTGCTCCGAAGACTCGGAACCCTTCCGAGAAGCCCCGCCGCCCTCTGAGAAGGCCTCCTCCTGCTCACTTCCCCCCTCCCCCCCTCGCCGCCGATCTCACCCCGCGGGCCCCCACGCTCGGCCACAGCGCTTGCAACGGTTGGTGTGTGTGTGTGTGTGTGTGTGTGTGTGTGTGTGTGTGTGTGTGTGTGTGTGTGTGTGCGGGTGTCGGGTCTTTGCTGCTTTTAGCTCTGGTTCTTGCGCCCGCCCGAGCGCAGCGGCGGACTCGCGCGGCAGCGCAACCAGACATCGAGGCCGCGCTTCGACGCAGGGGGGTTCTCTTGCTGGGGCTATGGGGACTGCTCTCATCGCCTACACGCACAGAAGCTGGCGCAGTTTCAGCGGCGGCGGCTGCCCGATGCGCGCGTGGCTGGTCACCACACAGAGCTAGTACAAAACGTTACCCGTGCGACCTGCCAACCGCAAGGCGCAACGGAATAAGAGAAGAGAGCGAAAAACGAAAACACTAAACTCCTTAGCGAAGAATGCTAGACACTGGTCAATGCACAGCCGCGCATCACAAGCAGCAGGTGATACAACACACCAAGTCACGGGCAGACAGCGTCATCGTAGTCAGGCGAAAACTTGCTGCTGGAACTGGTGCTGCGAGGAAGCTTTCCGTTCCAGAAGAACCAACTGTTTGATGCATGCTTTCGGGGGAATGGTCACGGCCCTATGGTCGTCTTCCCCCAGTATGCCGCCGACCGGATAATTGGCATTACCAATGTTCCTGGCAAAGACATTGAGGTAGTCGAGGCCCTGACGAGTGCGACCATTTACCACCTTCAAATCGACCTTGCCGAACCGCGTCCACCCCATCCTGTTGGGCTTGGTCTCCGATTTTGCGACGAACTCAAGCTTGTCACTCCTGTTTGTCCAGATACCATAGATTTCCACTGCCTGGAAATACATCTCTGAGCACGCGTCACCCATGCGCCTGGCGTCGGCCTCCAGGCGTAGTAATGTCTCCTGCGGACCACCCCATCGCGGTATCTGCAAAAGAACGTGCAAGCCCGTGCGGTAGATGTCAAAACGCTCGCCGTACATGTTTGTGAGGTGGGGGTCTCCCACGCCAGAGACCCCTTGCGATGCCACGCCGAAGACCCCTTGCGGTACGGGGCTCGGTGCTGGTGTTTGTGTCGGTGCTGGTGTCGCTGAGGGTGTCAACGAGGTTGTCGATGCTGGTGTCGTCGAGGGTGTCGCCGAGGGTGTCAGCGAAGTTATCGGTGCTGGTGTCGCCGAGGGTGTCAACGAGGTTGTCGATACTGGTGTCGTCGAGGGTGTCGCCGAGGGTGTCAGCGAAGTTGTCGGTGCTGGTGTCGCCGAGGGTGTTAACGAGGTTGTCGATGCTGGCGTCGTCGATGGTGTCAACGAGGTCGTCGATGCTGGTGTCGGCGAGGCTGTCGGCGAGGGTGCCAGCGGGGGTGCCTCAGCCACCAAGTTGACACTTGCAGGACTCTGGGGAATCTCTGTGACCCAACCTGTCCGGCTTGTGGCCGTCAGGAGATCCCATCTCTGTGAAGCAGTCATGGACCCAGCCGATGGGTACGCCTCGTACATAATGGCCGCGAGTCCGGAGACATGTGAACAGGCCATGGAGGTACCCGAGCTAGTGCCCAGCGAGGTGTCGCTGAGGTGGGACGTCGAGAGGATGCTTGAGCCTGGAGCCCAGACATCGACGCAGCTGCCGTAGTTGCTGAAGGGAGACTTGGCCGGTGACGATCCCGCAGACCCGCCGTAAGAGGCCACCGTGATGGCTGACGGGATCCAAGCAGGATTGTAGCCGCATGCGTCAGTGTTCTGGTTCCCTGCAGCCACCACCACGGTGACGCCATCTTCGACCAGCGCGTCGATCCGCCGGCCCTCCCCCGTGGGGTCTTCAGGCTGTGAGCAGGCATCGAACCTTCGTAAATCAGACGGGGTCTGCGCTCCCAGGGCCACCTTCGTGCACGGGGTACAGGCTGCGAGGGCCGCGACAAGTAGCACCAGAGGCCACGATTCCTTGCCAACTGCGGGGGGTGCGCACTCCCGGTGGCCACAGTCGGCAGGGGGGCCAGCGGCAGAGGCCGAAGGCCTTCGAATCGAATCCTGCTCCGCTATGCTACGGCCAACACTCCCGAGACTCATGCTAACCACCGCTGGCCTGGCACCAGACGACTTCACCCACTGCTGGGCCATAATGGACCACTGGACGTAACCGTACCCTTGGTTATCGAGAACCTTCGTTGCCCAGATGGTCGCGCCATCCGCAACGCCATACGTCGAGGCCCCCACCGTACCCGCGACATGGGTGCCGTGCCCATGGCCGTCAGCAGCGCACGTTGTGCTACTTGGCTCGCACACTGTGAGAGTTCCCGTGGTGGCCACGTCCACTCCAGCGAAGGCCCGGCCGCCGAACGAGGCATGGGTTATCCGAATGCCAGTGTCCAGCACGTACACGTTGACCCCCACGCCCCGTCCCCGGCCCACGTCAGCCTTGATGGACTGGATGCCCCATGGGTATGTCTGCCGCTCCAGTGGACTGTCGTCTACATAGATGGGCTCAATGTGCATGGTCTCATACACGTCCTCTTCGGCAAACTTCACAAGAATGGGGTACTTCTCCAGCAACGCCTTCAGTTCACTGAGTGTCAAACGTACCACCACAAGTGGCAACTCGCCCAGCTCTGGGTTGCTTGTCTGACAATTTGGGACCTCATGGCAAAGAAGCTGCAAATCTTGACCCGTTGCATTGCTCACCAGCTCGAGAATCCAAATCCGGTGTACCTCCACCGCGTGGGGGTAGATGGGCACTGACGATTGTGTGGGTGCGCTTCTCCGCTGCACGTCTATGTTCCCATGGTTCGTTTGGGGGTAGATCGGCACGTCAGCATGCGTGAAGAATTCCTTATCCAACTGCACCCTCGACGTTGACGGAGTGCTCCTGTGCATCTGCACGAGATCGAAGTCGCCAGCAGGGGCCAGGCCAGACGCACCGTGGGCCCAGACTATGCTGGCGATCCACAGGAGATGCGACAGGGCTGGACCTAAACGGTGTTTGTAGCGATTTCGTGGGCCGTTTTCGTTTCGACTTCGTTTTGCGGTAAAGGCGGATTCGAGACAAAAGCGAGGGAAAACGAAAACAAAACGAAAACTAGAAACACCGTTTGGGTTCAGCCCTGAGATGCGACATCTGCAAAAAAGGAATGAGCCACCACAGTACGGTACGATCGCACGGAGTCTGAAGGCGCGCGCAGAAGTGCTCGAGCCATCCTGGCGGCGGATCCCTGGACTGTGCCCGCTTGTACTGGGGAGACCAAAATCCGGAAACGAACTCTATACACCGACGCTTTTCCCGACCCTGCGCTGAAACTCACACAGGAACGCGGATTCTGGTGTATACGGGATCCTGGTGTATACATTCTTCGTTGTTTCCCTTGGAAAACGGGGGAAAAGTATACACCACACCACCCCGACGCCGTCCCCGACCGTCGAAAGGTCGTGAGATTCAAAAAACAAACCGCCACTGGTAATGTATATGCTCCAGTTTCCGACAAAAGGTGCCCATACCGCTACTCCACGGACCTCTCCTGGGGCGCGTCCTGACCAGGACTTCGAGGCGAACCCAGCGGTGGCGACGAGGGCCCCCCAGGAGGCCCGAAAAAGGGAAGACGAGGGAAGGGTAGAGGCATGGGTACCCTTTCCTCCCCTGCCGTACGGGAGATGCCCCCCCCTGACATGTCCGGTGTGCCTCCCTAACGCTACGGCCGCACGCCCTCCCTGGGCTATAATACATGGCCTTCCTCGAGCAGATCCCGTCGGGCGGCCTGGCGCAGCATGCCGGACGGTGCTCTCCACGGCCGTGCCCCAAATGTGCGCCATCCCAAAGATCCAACGCATTGAAAAAATCAAGACGGAGGTTTTTCACAATTTTCGGCCTCAAGGAGCCCTCGCCGGGCCCCGGGATCGTCAAAAAACGACTCAGGATGAAAAACCGGTCCCGGGGAACGGGTCGAGACCTTCGGGGGCCCCGTATTGAAAAAATCACGACGTCGGATCTCTGGGATCGAGATCGCGGCAGCAGCCCGCGCCATGGCGTGTGGACGTCGAGCGGTGCAAGCACTTCTTCTTTCGCCGGCGGCGAGGCAGAGGTGCTGCTCCAGCGGGCGGGCGATCGGCCGGCGTGCAAGGAGGGAGGAACCAGACAGGCAGGGCGGCCGCGAAGGACGGGAGGAGGCGGAGGGCATGCGGGCACTCGGGCGCGGAAGAATTCCAAGCTGAGTGCGCGGGCCCGGCGAGCAGCAAAACAAGCGGTGCAGACACGTCGGGGTGATCGCGCAATTCGTCCACCTGCGGGTCCTCGGCCGCAGCCTGGTTTGAGGGCTTGGGGCGGCGTTTTCTGGCCCTTGGGGCAATACCACGGCCGAAGGACGCGCCTGACCAATTGTGCAACAAACTGGGAACATCAGCTGGCGTATCTAAGTCCAATGGGTATTTCGCGGGGCGCGCTGTGGTTTGTGAAAGAAGTAGTGGTGAACCATGTGCTGTGCAACCCTAAGAGCCTGTATGAGGTGACGCCGAAGAAAATTACATGCAATATGACATGGAGACGAACCACGACGAAGAGGAGGGGGATGCAAGGAGTTGGGGTTGGGACAACTATCAAATGGGCAATGACCGGACGCATAATGAAAACGCAGATGATGGTGTGGAGGGCGAAGGTCCACGCGTGCGCCCCCCCTTACTCTGGGAATTTGACGCATTTGGAAACATAAGTTGAGCGTTGGCAAACGTGCACGGAGCTCCCACGCCCAGGCGTGTTCCTCTGGGCCCTCTGTTTTGCCTAAGTAGGTGGCTGACCCCTGTGGAGCGCGTCGGGCCTCAAAGGCTACCCTCCCACATCGCCACGGCCTTGGCGTCTGAGACCGTGGCCTGGAAGGCGTCGGGGAATGACTGCCCCACGCCGAGGGGGAGGGGGAGGAGGAGGGGGAGGGAGGGGGAGGGAGAAGGGGGAGGAGGAGGATGAGGAGGGGGAGGGACAAGGGGGAGGACGGAGGGGAGGGGGAGCAGGATGGGGAGGAGGGGGAGAAGGAAAAGGAAGAGGGGGTCCACTGTAAACCCAGGACGCAACAAAAGTGTTGCAATACACCCTCCCGCCACGTTCCCTCTTCATGGGACCTACAAATCTTAATGTTTGCTGCGGGAAGCACCCCGTTGGAAGACGACTGTCTGAGAACCCCCAACGGTGTCAAAACGCCATCCATGGGGCTGCAACGCTGCGAATCAGCGTCACTGTTGCGCCCTGACGAGCCCGAATCGTGCCAGGGCCAGTTTTTCGAGCCGCGCTCCGTCGTGGCGACGGGAGCCCTCCAAGACGCCCAGAGTCTCAGACACGATCAAACGTCGAACGTCGACCCTCCAGGGCCGAAGGGGCGAAGGTACGCGAAGGACGGTTCGCTATTACCGCGTGGCGATCGAGGGCGGCTCGTTGTCGTCGTTGCCGCTGTCGTCGTCATCGTCGTCGTCGACGCGACGTCGCCGTCGCCGTCGCCGTCGTCCCTCGTCCGTCGTTGTCGCGACGACGGCGACGACGACGACGACGACGACGACGACGACGACGACGGCGACGACGACGACGACGACGACGACGACGAACGACAACGACTGCGACGACTGCGACGGCGACGACGACGGCGACGAGCTCTCTGTGGCGGCCTCTCTGGCCTCCAGGGCGCCGGCGCCCCGGGCCGCCGCCGCCTCGCCAGCAGGGTTCGGTCGGGCATGTCCCCCTCCAGGCAGATGTTGTAGGGAGAATCAAAAACAGCCAACCAACACCCCCAGATGGCCCAAGTAATAAAGACCCCAAAAAACAGAACACCACAGCAAGAGATATCACAGAACACGCAAACAAGAACTGGCAACATCATAGAACAGTCGCCCCCTGATAATGTCCGACCATTACTGAGCACCCCTCCTGTGGAGTTGTAAGTCCCGGGGGGTATGCGTCTTTCCCGCGAGCAAGGGGGCCCTGTTGTCCGCGAGAGGCAGTTTGAAGGCAGACTTCAGATCAACTTGCGCGGCGCGCTTGCCTC